AGAAGAAGAAGAAGAAGAAGAAGAAGAAGAAGAAGAAGAAGAAGAAGAAGAAGAAGAAGAAGGCAGTCAGTCGTAGTGAAATTCTCAAAGAAAACACAAAGCACCCATTTATAAAAAAAAAAAAAAAATCATGACCGAAGGCAACTCGAGGAAGAAAGGGTTTATTTGGCTTACCTTCCACATCACAGTTCATCTTGGAGGAAAGCAAGGGTGGGAACTCCAGGCAGGAACCTGGAGGCAGGAACTGAACCAGAGGCCATGGAGGAACACTGCTTACCGGATTTCTTTCTATAGCTCATCCAGCTTGCTTTTTAATACAACCCAGGATCACCTGCCCAAGGGCACCATCCACAGTGGGCTGGGCCCTCCCATGTCAATCATTAATCAAGGAAATGCTCCACAGACAGATCCTAGGAAGGCATTTTCTCAGTTGAGAGTCTCTCCTCCCAGATGAACCTAGTTTGTGTCAAGCCGACAAGAAATATTATACCAGGCTAATAAAGGGCAAAGCATAGCCATATCTACCATGTCTACCTTCTGTGGATCTGGCAATAAATTGCTGCTTCTCGTCTCTTTTCTGAGCATGTGCTTCAGTTTTAGACATTTTCTAAGTGAACTAAACACAATATCAGAAATTTGAGTGTGTCAAAAATGCCTGGGTTAAAGAACTGGAATGTGTGGTTATTTTGTTAACCCCACTTGAACCAGACTAAAGAGGGATGGGCACAGAAGTCAAAGCCACCACAGCCACAGCTCAGTCCTCCTTCCCAAGTCCTTCATCTCCCTATCCTGCATTATTTATTTAACTACTTACAGCATGATTTTAGAGAAGTTATTTATTATTAGATTTTAAAATAAAACAGATAAATTGCTGAGTGTGTGCCTGTAAGGCTAGCACTCAAGATGCTGAGGCAGGAGGATCAAGAGTTCAAGGTCAATGTAGGTTACATAACAAGACGTCTCCAATATATGTGTGCTTATATGTACATGTATTTTATACAAATATTATTTGTTAAATCTAAGCTATTGCTCGTTGTGTTTATTACAGCACTAAGTCCTCAAGTGGGCACAGATTTTGAAATTCTCCACGTACCTACTTACACTAATTTCTTGGATGATGTAATGCTCATGGCTGGTCTGGAGTAGACAATGGGCTGCCGAAGCCCTTCCTGGGGATTTAGAGGACAGGCGTGAACTTCTCTTTTCTTCCTTTCTCTTACTGTCCCTGACCCCCATGGAATTCTCCTCCTGGCTGTCTTTCTTCCCTGCGAATCATGAGGTTGTTATGTCTTACACAGAAGAAGGATTTTCCAGACGAGCAGTTCTTCGTGGTGTTTGTGATAAAACCTGAAGATTACGCGTGTGGGGGATCATTCTCCATCCAGGGTAAGAGGCACCGAGGAATGCTTGGGAGGGAGGGAAAGGAAGCCAAAAGCTCATCCCTACTTACTGGGAGCCTAACAGCATCGACTTGATAAGGCACTCAAGAGATACTTGGATAAAAAATAAAATGAAGATAATCCTATATCTAAAGGCAGTATTGGCACTACAAAATGTCATTCAGTACCTTCAGCTTTCTAATATAATATTTTTAATTCTTTGAACATTTAATACAATGTATTTTAATCATGTTCAACCCCTACTTCTATGCATAACTCTTCTCCAATCTGCCCACCACCTCTCCACTTCCTCCCAACATCAGGTCCTCTTTATTATTTATTTTTTACATAACACACAGAGTCCAATTTGTAATGACTGTATATTCATTATATACAGTGTGGGGTCATCCCCTGGACTCTGGACTATGGTCAGTCTATGAGGGGCCACACTTTTAAAGAAAACTGTCTTTTCCTCCCCCAGAGGCCATTAACTGTCAGTAGCTCCTCAAGAGTGGAGGCTCATGCTCATGAGCTCCTCTCCCTCAGGACTAAAATGGTGACTGGCTTGACTTTGTGCAGCATGTCAACTTTTTGAAAGTCTTATGCCAGGCCGTATAAAGTGAGTTCACTTAGTTGGCATTTCATTGGCTTTTATGATGTACATGCAAAAGGGTCTGTTTCCTGGGCTGGTGAGACAGCCAAGTCAACTGACTTGAGTTCCATCTCCCATCCATCCCTGGATACTCTATGATGGAAGGATAGAATCAGCTCCAGCAAGTTGTCCTACACACACACACACACACACACACACACACACACACACACACACACACGATAGAGAGAGAGAATAGATGCAATAAAAACATTATTAAAAGTCCATTTCCTAATATGGAGCCACTTATATGGATCAGCAGTCAGCCCTTCCACAAGGATGTACAAGGAAAACCTGAAGTTTGCCATCTCAGTTGCCAAAATTGTACCCGACAAGACAATAAGAAAGCCGAATGTGCTGACTTATCCTGACAACAAGGGGTTATATAAACTCCAGTGCCTGTACAAATAGTTGTGTTGTCCAGAGAGTAGATTAGACTGTTAATTGAGAACACAGACCCCCTCTGCCAATAGGCCACATGTCACCAACACAGAGGGTGTTTTCTGTTGGCTATAACATGGCTCCCTTGGTGACAGGTGACATTTCTGCTTGTGTGTGCTTGAATCTCTTAATGTTCCTTGAGAAACTCTAGGGCCTTTGATGACTAGGTAAAGAAAAACAGATTTTCACTGGCTACGAAAAAAATGCAAGTTAAAGTGGATGTAGCTGTTTGTTTGGGGCACATTTTTCTTGAGGAGTTTGTGGACATCAGGAGAAAGATCAAGTCTTTTACAGTGGAGAAGGAAGGCTGCTGTTCCAGTTCATGTGTGTCAGCTGGTGCTTCTAATATGCACTCAAGCAAAGACCAACCAGAGAGTCTTAGCAGAGGGACCCCTGATGGCTCAGATGTTGGATTTTACTCCAGTTCTTGTACAGTGGTCAGAGTGGATTCTGGACATTGTCTAATACAACTGTTCAGTATGGGGGGGGGGGGGGTAGGTGAGAGTCTGACCTCTGACCCACTGTGCTTTCTACCTTGTCTGCTTGTGTGGTGTTGCTTTGTTTTGGGTTTTTGTTGTTGTTGTTTGTTTATTTCTTTGTTTTTACCAGAAAATGAAAACCAGACCTGGAACCTGCAACGATCAAAGAACCTGAAAGTGACCATTGTCCCGTCCGTTAAAGGTTGGTTTGGGCTCTGGAGTGTGGTGGAGAGATTCTTGTGTTGGGAGATTTATCACGTAATTCAATGTTAATGCCTTCCCCTCCAGTGGAGCCTTCCTTCATAAGAATACTAAAGTCTATTTAACTTGGAGATGGAATTAGATCTTTTTGAAGAGAAATAGGCATACTAGGGGTGTGGTTTAGTGGCAGAATACTTGCCTAACTTGCATGAGGCCCTCCAGCATAGAAAGGCCTGGGAGGGGGTGGGGATAGAGAGAAGGAAGGGGGAAGGGAGAGAAGAAGAGGGGAGAGGAGGGGAAATAAAGGACGTGAGGGAAGGAGGAGAAGACAGGAAAGAGGAGACTCAATTCTAGAGTTGTATACACTGACCCCCGCCCCCATGCACCCCGCTTCCAAGGGCAGGCATCACTATGAAGCTGCTTGTGGGTGGTGTCAGGGTAGCCTCCCGTACTTCAGCAGCTTCAGTGAAAATACACTGGGATTTAAGAATGGACAGGATGGAGGCTGAGTCTTCAAGCTGTGCTGTTCCCAATATAGCCCTCCTCTTCCCAAGGACAAGCTGACAAGCGCTGTTTCTTTCTCCCCAGCATCTGTGTATGTGAAATCCAGTCTTTTCAGTGCATTCATTTTCTTGTCCTTCTACGTGGGATGCCTGCTGGTCATGCTTGTCCATCACGTGAGGTAGGTCCGTGGTCTCTTCATCTCCTTTGCCTCCCCATGTGATGCTTAGAACACAGGGCTTTGGAACACCTTGACTGGCCGCTAACTGAGATCTTGGGCAAGCTGCGTGTCCTCCTCCTGTACCTGAACTTAAGGTTGGTCATCTGTGAATGGAGACAACGGTTGACTCACTTGCAGGTCTGAAGCCAGGGTCCCACATAACACGCCGGTAGAGTTTTCATTATGAGACCACAACAAAAAACCAACTGGGCTGTTCTTATACCTCAGAATACTCGCTGTAGATCACACAGACGGCAGGAAACCGTCAGCTTTCCCCAGCATAGAGTCTAGAAGCAGACTTAAGCATTCTGTCGGAAGCAAGCTCAATGCCTAAATAAGTCTGGAGGTACAGCCCATCGCAGGAGTGACATGCTTTGATACGTGTTATTACCAGGCACACCAATTTCCCAGTAAACCGTTCCTTCAGGACAAAAGGGAGAGGTAGGTAAGCTGCAGTCTGATAAAGGAAATGCCCCTGCCTAAGGATTTGGAACCCCTGGTTAAAAACAAAAATAAATAAGATTTTATAACACTCTTGGCCTCTCTCAGCGGGGCTGAGCTTTGAGGGTTCTGTTTTTGTTATGCTTTCTGTGAAACAGCTACAAAAGGATGGCAGGAGACTTCCAGTAAACAAATGGTATTTTCCCTCTCCTGTTAAACATGGGGGGTGGGGGGGAGGCAGCAGAGAGCTGTGAGCACAAGACCAACTGTGAGGAGAGCTCCTTGACAGAGCAATCTTAGTAGCAAAGGCCCTTCTCTCCCTCAGTAAACAACTCCCTTCTACACCCTCAGAAAGCCTTTGAGTTGAGATACCGCCTTCAGAACGCCCCCCCCCCACTCCCCGCCAGGGGCCTGCCTAGAATCCCACCACTCAGGATGGGGAGCGGCTAGGAAGTGTAGAGTCTACACAAACTACTTAGAGAGTTCATGGCCAGCCTGAGCTGCAGCATAAAGACTCTGCCTCTGAAAACCAAGAGCTGGGAATGTGACTCAGTGGTTAGTGCTTCCCTAGTGTGTGTAAGTCCTGCTGGGTCTGAGCCTCAGCACAACTGAAAAACTAAATAAAAACAGGTCCACCACTAGCCAAACATTTAAGCACCAAAATAACTAGGAATTATGCATTATTTGAAAAAAAATGAAATTATATGAAGAAATAAATACTCACAAATATATATCCAGTGAATTCAACAAATCTAGAACAACGGCTGCCCATCAGGGAAAGGTGCTTCCAACAAATACTGATGCTAAAATGAATGTATCTCCCCTATAGCAGACCAAGAGCTGACTGGTAAACACAGAGGAAATGCTCAGGTTTGAAAACCATTTGCAAACGTCACAGCTGACACTTGCCCAGGTTAAGAATCATCAATAGATCCGGGTCTGGTGGCACAGGCTACTGGGGAGGCTGAGGAAGAGGTCTGAAAATTCAAGAGCTGCCTGAGCAGCTTAGTGAGACCCTGCCTTAAAATAAAAGGTTAAAAAACCAAGTCGGTGGCTGTAACTCAGTGGTAGATCACTTGTCATACCCTAGCTCCCCTGATCCCAAAACTAAGAAAGTAAAGCAAAGTTGTCAATGAATGCTAAGTTGAGGGGAGTCAGACAAGGAACAGGGTGTTTGTGTAGCTTCACATATTGCTAAGCCATAAGAGAAAAAAAGTAATAAATACACAGTGGGGAAATAAATCACACTGGCCTGTCAATCAAAATAAATACTATTTATTTATTATTAAAGAGAAAGTGAGCAATGCGTGTCTCCAGATATGACACCACTCTGGGAGGGACACAGCGTTACTCCTTGTAGCTTCCTACAAATGTATATTTTGAATCTAATCAAGTGGAAACATTTAACACAAAAGCTCTCATAAAAGGGGCAAAAGGATATGCAAAGGATCCTGTTAGAGGAGATGATAGGTGTGAAACTAAAGACAGCGTGACCTCAGATTGGATCTTGCCCTTAAAGAAAAAGTATGCCAGAAAGGATAGTTTTAGGCCAGTTGAAATTAGAAGACAGTCGATGAAATTCTGTAATCCTAGCTATTCTCGAGGAGGGAGATCTCAAATTCAAGGTCAGCCTGAGCTACAGAGTGATTTAAGACCAGCCCGGGCAACTTAGGGAGACCCTGCCTTAAAACAATAAATAAGCAGTGGGCCAGGATATAACTCAGGGGCACAGTGCTTGCCTAGCATGCATGAAGCCCTAGGTTCAACGCCCAGCAACACACTAAATAAATATATGTGCAAGTGTTAAATTTATGGAATTTGATGTTTTCTTCACTCTATAGAAGTGTGGAGGGTAAAAATCTATAGCAACTTCAAATGACTTTCAAATGGCACAGAAAAGTTAATATACATATAGATGAGTACATGCTGGAAATTAATATACATGTAGATGTTGTTGGTTGGTTTTGCTCTTTTGGGGGACCCGCCATCCAGCTCCCAAATATACCACACACAATGGCTTATTCTTAATTACAAATGCCCAGCCTTAGCTTGGCTTATTTCTTGCCCGCTTTTCTTAAATTATCCTGTTTATCTTTTGCCTCTGGGCTTTTACCGTTCTCTTACTTCTGTATATGTTACTTTCACTCTTACTCCGTGGCTGGCTGGCTGGCTGGCTGGCCCCTCCCCTTGTTCTTTTGCTCCTTCTATTTATTCTCTCTACCTGCCAGCCCTGCCTATACTTTCTCAGCCCAGCTCTTTTTTAGACCAATCAGGTGTTTTAGATAGGCACAGCAATACAGCTTCACGGAGTTAAAGGAGTTAAACAAATGCAACATAAAAGAATGCAACACAGCTTTGCATCATTAAACAAATGTCCCAGGGCATACAAAAATGTAATGCATCTTAAAATAATAGTCTACAACCTGTAGATGACCACATGCTATAAATTAACATATGTGCAGACGGGTACATGCTATACATTTGGGAAAGGAGAGCTGAGACAGAGCTAAAGCCGGGTTTTTTGTAGATACTAGGGAGGCAGAGGCAAGAGGATTGTTGAATTCCATGTCAGTTTGGGCTACTGCATGAGATCCTTTCTGGAGAGAAAGAGAGAGAGGGAGAGAGAGAAGGAGGAGGAGGAGGAAGGGAGGGAGGGAGGAAGGGGAGGGAGGGAGAGAAAGGAGAGGGAGAGAGATGGAGGGGGAAATGCCAACAAGTGAATCAAGGTTAAAGGATGTATTGACAGATATTCTATTTTCTCTACTCATCCTTGAAACATCCCTGTAAATTTCAAATTATTTTAAAATACAAAGTTAAAAGCAGAGCTGGACAAGGTGGTGCCTACTTGTGACCCCAGTGCTCAGCACTCAAGAGGTGGAGGTAGGAGGATCGGGAATTCAAAGTCGTTTGTCCTTGTGTGGCTCCAGTGTGGCTCCATAGTGTGTTTGAGGCTAAATGAGATCCTGACTTAAAAAGAAAGAAAGAAAGAAAGAAAGAAAAGTATTAAAGCTTAGCAAAGTATATACATGAAGGGCACCAGTTTACTCTAAAAGTTTCTGTTTCTAATGTGTTAAATATAACTGTATAGCTGCTATGCGCCTGACAGTGTGCTGAGCCCTTGGGGGGTTATCTCACCCAATGCCCCAGCCACTGTTACTGGGATACTGTGATTGTTACTATGTGGAGGGTTAAGGAAATCGAGGCACAGAGGGGGTGAGCAATTTGATCAAGGATTCGCAGCCAGTACCTGAAGGACTTAGGATTTGAACTCAGGCAGCTGGGCTCTAGAGCCTGAAGTCGTCAACAAGCTTGACACAAGTGGGTCTTGAGTGGTAGAGGCATGTGACACATGGCAGTTCTGAGCCAATGAAGTGTGACCACCAGCCTACACCTCAGCCATGATTGTACAGGACCCAAAACGTTCCCGTTTTGCTTCAGACGGCTCCAGGGTCACAGGAAAGAGCCCACATTCTGCCTCTTAGCAAGATGTCCTTCTTACGTTTTAGGTTGAGAAACCAGAATCCTTTCTCTTCAGGCAGCTGACACGCGCCACCAACACCCAAACAGATGAAAACTGAGCTAATGGTTCACTCTTAGTCACCGTCTCTGAAGCTGTCACTCAGCGGCTGAAGCGAGCAGAGTCTTTGAAACTTGTGTTCAGATGCTGTTGAAAGTTCACAGCAGACGACTTCACTCCAGTCAAATGCACAAGCATAGACTCTTTCCAAATATAGACACACTGAAATAGAAATCTAGAGACAGAGAACCATTTGGCATTCTAAACAGGGGACTAGACCGAGGGAAAATGCTAATAGGAGAACTTTCCCTCTGTTGAACTGAGTGAACCAAAGTTTTCCACTCAGCTATGGGAAGCCCTCTCAACCTAATGCCATTTGCTCAGTGAGTCCTTATATTGTATGATTAACACATGAGGGATTTATAGCCCACCCTATGAGTTCGTAAGGAACACTTGGAAGGACCATGGCCCCAGGTCTTAGGGATGCTAAGAGCTTTCCCAAGTGTCTTCCTGATGTTCTGTCATACAAATACCATTTCCTTCTCACTTCCACCTCCCATCTCATGTATTTATTCATCCCCCTTCAAGGGATATGCAGGCTTGGAGTCAAACACTGAGTATGTGTTCTCTTGTTTTCATCAACCACCTAACACTCTCTAAGTCCAACCACCCGGTTCTGGGTACTTATCCTTCTCATTGATTCTTTCACCTGCTGCCACGCTGTCACTTTAAAAAATGACCATATACAGCATACAGCAACCTCAGAAGACTGTGAGCTAGCCAATGGTTCTGTTTTGATTAATATCTCCAAATGGTGCATTTAGAAAAAAAAATGGCTTCATTGAGAAAATAAATCATAAAGCATCAATTCACTTCTTGCTGGTATACAATCCAGAGACTTTTAGTATTACTACAGCTGCACTCTTAAATCTCAGCTGGATGTCGTCACAAAATATGACCTGCTGGCAGGTCCAAAAAACTATCAATCCTAGAACGGCCTCAATAGCACTTGGTCTCTGTACTCCAGCAGGCCAGCCTGGGATTGTGGGATCTCAGGGAGAGCAGATGGGTTCGAGCCTCAGAAGAGTTCCCCCTTATGGGAATGAATGAGTCATGAGGCTAGCCCAGTTTCTAGACTAATTGTCCAGGTGTGCCCATCTCGGTCAATCCAGCATGGTTCCCATCTGCTGTTTTTTAAATTTGCTGACTAGATACTTCCTACCTCACCTTAGCTGTGGAAATTACTTAACTCCTCTCATGAAAAACTGTAGCAGTTCTAGACGCTAATTCAAGCACGGGTAAAGCTCATTACTCCAAATATATTAAATTACATATATCATATATAATATAATGTTTATTATATATAGTCTAGATGGTCACTTGCCCATCAGCACCACCAAATTTGATCAGAAAGACCTTCCCCACATCATCCTTCTGGGTGGAATAGTCAGGCTGATCCCTATCATGTACCATCTTGGTTTTTTTCTTTTAAACAGAAGTTAACAAATTTATCCTAAAATACATATGAAGATGCAAGGGACACGTAATAGCCAAGAACTTTTCATTTATACATACATTATTTTCTTTATCTACTCAAGTCTGGGAACCATGAGAGAAAGAAGATACAGGGTATCTGTCATTCTGAGAGTAGCTTAATGCACTTATATGATTATCTCCAGTTGCATCCATTTTCCTGTGAACAACATAACTTTATTCTTCAGCTTGTTTTCTTGATGACTTCCATTCTGACTATGGTCAGATGAATACTCAGTGTGTTTTGGTTTGGATTTCTCTCATGACTACTAAGGTTGAATTTTTTTTTTTTTTTAATGTTCATTGGCCGTTTGTATCTCTACTCCAGAGACCTGCCTGTTCATTTAATTAGCCCATTTATTGATCGGGCTGAATGGTTCTTTTCTTACTTCTTTTTTTAAATTCTTTTTTATTTCGGATACTAACCCTCCATCCGTTATATAGCTGGCCAAGATTTATCCCATTCTGTAGACAGCCTCTTTACTTAATTAACGGCTTCCTTTGCTATACAGAGAGAATAGGAAAAAAAACTTGAATAAAAAAGAACCAAATTTAGAGGACTTGACACTTCTTGATATCAGAACATATTCCAAAACCTTGATAATCAAGACTCTACAGCTGATAGAGTGAGAAAGAGGAGGGAGGCCAAGAATAAACCCTTCTGAAAAAAATGTTTATGCTTACTTTGTGTATGCATGTACACACACACACACACACATACACACACACACACACAAACACACACACACACACACACACACACACACACACACACACACACACACACACGCCTGAGCACAGGCCACACATGTGGAGGTCGACCAGAGGATAACTTGTGGGAGCTAGGGAGGTGTTTCTCTCTTTCCACCACATGGCTTCCAGTGGACCCAAGCCAAGTTGCCGGGTTTAACAGCAACTGCCGCCACCCATTGAGCTATCCTGCCAGCTCTCTATGAATTAACTCTTAGTGGTCGGTTTCCTGTAAAACCGTGCAGTAGAGAAAAGGTGTTTTTCTTTCGAAAGTGTGGTGCTACTAAAACTAGATATCATATAAAGAAAGAATTAGTGATGTGGGCTCCTACTTTATATCATATACAGATATTAACTCAACCTTGGATCAAAAACCTAAGTGGAAAAGCTAGAACCATAGAACTCTCTAAAGAGAAAATATGGTGTAAATTGTGGCCTTGGATTAGGTAATTCTTTCTTAGTCATCTAAAGGACAAACAAGAGACAGAGAAAAAAATATGTTATATAAATTGAACTTTATAAACAAATGAAACACTTTATGTTTCAACAATCACATCAATAAAGTAATACCATTGTCCACAATATTTTGATAAAATATTAGCAAATCATTTATCTAGTAAGGGTCTAGTATCTAGATAATACAAAAACTCTTACAACTCAGTAATTAAAAAGAGATTATTTAAAACGAGTTAAGGGACTGAAGAGATAGCTCAGAGGTTAAGAGAGCTTCCAGCTCCTCCAGAGGACCCAAGTTTGATCCCCAGCACCAGTTTATTCAGGGGCCTCACAACCACCTGTAACTCCAGCTTCGGGGGACCCGGTGCCCTCTTCTGGCCTCCATGGGCATTGCACTCACGTGCACATAACCTGTACTCAGACAAACACACATACACATAAATTTTAAAAATTTAAATAATTTAAAAAATGGGTAAAAGATTTAAGCAGACATGTCAAAGAAGGTGTATGGATGTCCAACAAGCATGTGAACAGATGTTCATCATTAACTCTTAGAGAAATGCAAATCCAAGCTGCAACCAAATGTCAAACTCTCAAGGTTAGGCATAATAAAATGTTTTAAATAGAAAATGAGAATTGGCAGGGCTGTAGAAAAATGGGAGTCCTCAGACTTGGCTAGTGGGAATGTGAAACAGTGCTTGCTCTATAGTCCTTGTGGAAAACAGTTTGGGAGAGTAAAACACAGGGTGCCCTCAGGCCTCCCCTTCTAGTTATAAACCCAAGAGAAGGGAAGATATATCTGTAGAAAAAAAAAAAAAAAACATGAATGCCGGGCAGTGGTGGCACACACCTTTAATCCCAGCACTCGGGAGATAGATCCAGGCTGATCTCTGTGAGTTTGAGGCCAGCCTGGTCTACAGAGGGAGGTCCAGGACAGGTATCAAAACTATAGAGAAACCTGTCTCCAAAAAAAAAAAAAAAAAACCCACCCCACCCCCCAAAAAAAAGAAAGAAAGAAAAAAAACACGAACACAAGTGGTCATAGCAGTGTTATTTTAATACATGGCAAACAGAAGCAATAGGAAGTTTTCATCAAAGGAAAATAAATGAAATGTAGTATACACACACACACACACACACACACACACACACACACACACATATACACACACATTGGAATATTACTCAGTGTTACAGTATGGATTAACCTTGAAAATAGGCTGTATTGAGGAAGCCAGTCAAAAAAGTCCACATGCACAATGATTTCATTTATATAAATTTTCCAGAAGAGGTAAAGTTACAAGGACAGAAAGTAGATGAGCAAGGGCTGGGAGAAGGGGACAACGGAGAGTAATCTCCAACAGACACAGCTTCTCTGGGTGGGGGGCGGGGGCGTGAAAATGTTCTAAAATTGTCATGGGGACAGTTGCACAAGCATTTGAATATATTAAAACGCGCTGGGTTGGGTGCTTTAAAAAACACATGCTATGATGTTACGTTTACATCTGAAAACAAATGAAGGCTAGTAAATAATGTACCTGGCGGAGAATGGAATTACTGGGTCCTATGATCACTCTGTATTTGGCTCTCTGAGGAACTGGCAAATCATCACCCAAAGTGGCTATCCCATTTTAAACTCCTGCCAGTGGTTTCTCCAAAGGGCCATTTTAAAGCGATCCCAGAAGACAAATTTTCAACAGAGTGTGTAGGAAGCTAGTGCAAAATGCTTACTCTTAAGAGAATATGGACATGTGCATATGTATGTATTTGTACTTATGCTTGCTTGCAGGTTTCAGAGGAAATCCATTGACGGAAGCTTTGGTTCCAGTGATGGTAAGGGAATTCCTTGGCTAATTCCTGATCCCAGATGATGTTGCACGGTGCAGCCACATCCTTTGAGTACCCTTTGTCTCTCTTCTTTCTTCCCCCTTGATTCTTTGCCCGGAGTCCTCCCGTCCACAAACTTTCTACAGATGGCAGGCTAGTGAGAAACGGTTTTATGGTTGGTAACTATTGAGACTTGGAGCCCACACAGATTGTACCTGGAATGCCCTTCAGTTATTCATAGAGCACTTGCCAACCATTCATCTTTTCCAGAAGCTGTCTCCGCACAGGGATGTAACCGTTCACACCGGTCCGTATCCCTAAGCTGACTTGGGGGTAGCAGTGAGTGTTATGATACTCTAATGCAGGAGGTCCTGGGAGGTAGAGCCAAGGTGCCCCACGGCGGGTGAGAGCCAAGACGCCATGCAGACAGCGCTCAGCAAAGTTTTATTTGGTGGGGGTGGGGGAGGAGGAGAAAGGAGAGAGAGAAGGAGGGAAAGAGAGATAGAGAGAGACAGAAGAGCGAGGTGTCGAAAGACACTTCGCACCTCGTGGGAGGAAAGCGGGAGAGAGAGGAAGAAGGGGCGGAGTTTTCCCTTAATAGACTTTTACATCAGGGCATAGGATGACGCCAAGGGGCGGGATCAGAATACTAACAGTGAGAAAGTGTTATGTCAACTCTCATGCAATATACTTTTCCCTTGGAGATTAAGAAAGCTTTGTGCATTTGTGGGTTTAAGCATCTAGAAAATCAGAATATTTGAGACTAGAAGCACAATTTAAAAAATGTAATAATTGAAGAACCCAGCATAATTAAATATCCGACCCATTCCTCCACTCTGAGAATTCCCACAAAGGATTTTAGTTGTCTGATATTTTTATTAAAACTTAAAATTTCACATGTGCTCAGTTTGACAAAGCCCAGATCACCATAAGCTCGGAGACTGTTTGGGAAGGAGTGGAAATTGAAAGTGGCAGATGGGACGGACTTCATTTGAAGTCAGGTGCTTTCCACAAGACAGAATCCTAGAAAGATACCAACTGACTGCTACCTCCACCCAGCAGGATTTTCTCCCTTTGCTGAAAGGCTTTTTGTGTTTACATTTGTCTTCCTTGAGAAACAGCTAGACTGTTTTTCCAGCCTCTCCCCGCCGCAGGCGCTTTGTTTTTAATAAACATTCAATTTCCAATATAAAAGATTGAAAAAACACCTGCTCTTGGAGCTTTAAAAGGCCAGGCTCTGCTTTCGCTGTTGTTTATAAAATGTTTCACTAAGTTTGCTTGGGGCTCATCTTTTCTGCCCCGCTCACCAGGTTTTGCTAATAATAGCAAAATGTACACAACATAAATGTAAAGTATGTAATATGAATTAAGCCCTTTAGAACTTGGGCCTAGATCCAGTAGGTTCGATTTCATTAAGTGCCCTCTGCATGGAAGGTCTGTTGTTTCTTTTGATGTATATATAATGTAATTTTGTGATTACTATAATCACTAAAGGAATTCCATGTCAAGAAGGGTCGCTTAAGCATCAAAACATATGTCAGTGGGGCTCAGGCCTGAACCAGACCATTGCTGAAAATCAGGTACATTGAAAATAGCTAGGAGCCCCCTTCAGATGACAGACAAAAATGAGTGAGCAAAGAGAGTGAAGGTGTACTCATCTTGTTCACATGGATCCACGTAGCAATGGCAATCAGTGCAGAATACACTTTGGACCCACTTTTATACCAGAGGACCCCTCCTTGCCTGCAAATCGAGGGAGGGTAGCTTCCAGGGTCGATGATGGAGTGCGGTGCTCTGGTCTGTTTCTCCGCCAGCCCCTGCACTCTCTACTTGGAGGGATATTGAGGGAGATACATTAAGGCTCACATCCTCATGAGGCAAGGTCAGAAGATGCCACCAATTTCTTCTCATGTTCTCTCTGTGTAGAGTGTATCATATCCTTATTGTTAAATAAGTCACTATATAGAGATAGTTTTGTGGCTGGGTGTGTAGCTCAGTAGGCAGAGTGGCACTCTAGCTTGCTCCAAACCCTGGGTTAGATCCCCAGCACCACATAAACTGAGTTGGTGCATGCCTATAATCCTAGCACTTAGGAGGTGGAGGCAGGGGGATCAGAAGTCTTCTAGATCATCCTCTGGAGTCCATAGTAAGTTCAAGACCAGCCTGGGATACCTGAGACCCTATATCAAAAGAAGTGGGGACATCAAGTAAATGCACTTTTAGAATTATTAAAAAGTCCTCTCTATCTCTCAGACCATAATTTTTCTCAACATCAACATTATTAACATTAGAAGATTCATAATTCTTTGTTGTTTGGGATACAGTGGTGGATTAAAGTATACTTCCTCCTCGAGACAAGTACAACTGTCTTGGCCAGACATGGCCAGATATCTTCTTGGGGTAAAACTGGAAAATCACCAATTTACACACACCAGCTGGGCCCAGGTTGAGGACGCCTGAAGAAAGCAGGTGTTTTCTTCCCTTCAGGAAGTAGAAAACAGGTATGCTTGCCACAACGGGCTTTGAAATAGGGAGGAGATACTGAGCCTTTGTGCACAGAGAAGCCCCAGGCAGAGCTGGCAACACCTCCAGTGTCCCATGACCTTGAGCGAGCCAAGACCTAACTGGCCAAAACTAGAGCAGAAGAGGGGCAAGCTCCAGCCAGCCAGGGGAGGACCGGCTGGTGACCTTCAGGCTTACGGAGCTGTGCTACCAGGAGACACTCACAGGAGGGACCTTGGGGGCGGGGGTGGGGAGAATGAGGCTATAGAAATGTCTTTCTCTCCCATCAGCAAAGTGTCTGTGAGAAGTAGAAAGTCAATGGAACGCAAAGCAACAGGAAACACTCTGAGGGCTGGGCTCAGATCAAGAGCCAGAAGCAGGTTCTCAAAGCGGGAGCAATCCCACAAGACTTGACATGTTGTATTGTCCACTCACTGGGAAGCAGGACATATTGCTTACATGTGGTCATTATTTTGCTGTGTGTGTGTATCACACATGCACATATATCAATACGTTATGCCTCTTAAATATATATAAACAAAAAATTAATTTTGCACAAAGACGTTTCAGCAGATAGTACAACGAGTCGCTCTCTACCCGTTGCCTACCTGGCTGGGGAAGCCGCTTGATCTCTCAACACCTCTATTTTATCATCTTTAAAATGGCGGTAATAAGAGCCCCCACCTCTTAAGGCTGTTAGAAAGTCCAGAGTGCCTGACACAATGCATTCTCTTCAGTCTGAAGGAGGGGCAGCCTCCGCCCCGGCAATGGGAGCATCAGGAACAGCGGTGGCTCTGGTAATGGCAGAGCTTGTAGTAAGCAGGACAGGGGCAGTGGCCAGACTCTGTGTTCTCATGAAGCCAGAACTGGCCCGAATCGAAAGGAGACAGCCACACGTTCACACATCAGTCTCTGTGCTCCAGTTT